GGGGGGGGGGGGGGGGGTCAGGAAAATGCTAGTGATGGAGGAAAAGATGGATGGCTGCACTCACACTTTAAAGATGCGCTCGATGGGCTTGCACACCACCTGCTCACCTTTGAGCGCGCAGTCGTACTGGACCAGTTCTGCTAGACGGCAACCTGCCGGTAGGCCATTCCGCGCAGTACCTGTGCTGCTCGCCGCCTCGATCACATCTTTGGTGGCCATAACGAATCAAGTCGTCGGCTTGCAGAGAAGGTTGGCGAGGTCTAGCAGCTAGGCGTGGTGGGCGGAACATTCAAGTCATCGCAATGCACCGCGGTTTCAGCGATTGTGAATCAAATGTGAATTGATCGAAAGGGATGATCGCGCGATTCATGCGTCGCGCATATCTTGATCGAGTGCCGCCCGCCGGCCACATTACGCCACCCGCGCGTCGACACAGCCACGTGGAGTCAGATCAGCAATGATGAGTGACGAGCAACCTTGCCCGCCCTGATCGTAGAATCTTACGTTCGCCATCCTAATTTGACTGGCGCTCAGACGCGTGCATGGTAACAGGATGGAGATGCACTCTGCTTGAGGCTGTCCAGCCTGTGCATGGTGCAATGTGAGTGCAAAACTTGGTGCGCCTGCTTGCTAAGTAGTAATCAGAATCGTGAACGAATGAAGGTCCAGAGATTCCCTCTTGGCAAGAATTCCTGCTGGTAAGGCTTGCATGCATCGGCGTGCTCGCGGCCGCGGCCGCGGCCATCTAGCTGGAACGCTCACGCGCGCGGGCAACCGCGCGTGCGCCAATTGAGCATAATGCAGAAGGAAGCCCCTTGCGTGAAGCGTGGCGCGCGCAGTCGTGGTCGCGGCGGCCGGCGTCTGTACAGTCTGATGAGTATATACTGTACATATACATACATGTATGCAGCCTGCCCTTGCTCTTCCTCCCGCATTACAAAAATCCAAGAACAACACCGGGCGTGCGGATGAGTCTCCGAGCTGAGAGAGGTTGGACGCTGAAGCGCACAAGTATCACGTATTTCGAGGCTCGGAAACGGAGATTGTTCTGCATGCCTCTCACGGCTCGACACCCATGGAGACTCCCCAATGTGCGGAGCCGCTCGAGTAGTGCGCAATTTCGGAATATGGGGCGTCGTGCGACTGCATGGCGAGAGAGCTTGATGTGGTAAAACGCACACCTGATCTCCACAGTCACGAGGTCTGCATAGCAGCTCCGCATCTGCTTGGAACATGCCATGGCTGGGGTTCAGCAGGTTCAGACATGCAACTGGCTGAGCAGCGATCGACGAGTGCTTTGACTACTACTACTCGCGACTGTATGGCAGGCTGGCAGCAGATCGTCGAGATCTCTGCTTTG